AGGACGCGAAATAGGGAATTCTTTCAAAGAAACAACAAAGGAACAACATTCACAAATGTAAAGAAGAACATCAGGGAGAGAATAACAAGGGAAATCAAGACAAAACACCAGGACACAGACAAAATATGGAGCTACAAAAATGTACTATGTGAAAAAAGAAACGAAAAATATACAATAAAAATATAGAAAGATTAGTTACCTTAAAAATAGAACAGAAAAAGACATCATTAGAACATAGATAAAAAGCACAAGGAAAAAGAGCATCTGTAAATAAATTAATGATGGAACAAGAAATATACTCTGGGAAAAACAAAAAAAAGTATCTGTTCTTATCAGCTTAATAGGAAATTGCTACTCTTGATCAAATTACGTTAATTGGTTCGTTGGAAAGTAAATTGGTCTACTAATTGGATTACGCTCATTAAGGTTAGTGGAATTGGATTTTGGATTTGTATTTACATCGCTGGATTGGATCGGAACTGGAATTGGAATTGGACGACCCTTTGATATCATCGTACTTGGCTTTGTTTACGAAGCGATACAGAATTTCAGCTTTCGACCGGTATTCCCGTACATCGTTCGGTTCGGCCCGATTTATCGTGTTTGACCACGTTATTCCTTTACTACAATTGGCCTCACTATCGCTACGAACACTGTGTGCGAATTTCTGCTCATATATATCGCTAGAAAACCGATATTTCGAAGAAGACAAACTTTCACGAGCAAGTTGCTCGAGATTCCGTCACGACCCCATTACGCGTTTGAAGGATCGTTCTCTCAAATATCGCATCGAATTTGCATTAGCACCGGCAATATAGGACTACAAACAGAATTTTGCACGAATTGACAACAAATTCACAAGAAATCTCAGCGAGTTTTAAAACGACCGTTGGCTGTTTTTCGTTGCCTGGCTACGATTTCAAATTCGCGTTCACTTTTCTCAACTCGTTATATTCGAACTTTTATTTATTGCTGGTATATATTACTGATATACACGAGTATACTCAGTCTCTTCCAAATTGCTCCAATATTTGGCAAGTTTTTCTATCCCAAGTTCAAAAAGCGACCGTTGGCTGTTTTTCGGTTGCTACGTAACGAATTTAAATCATTACTACATCGAATTGCCTGCTCAATTGACCGAGCAATTATCGCGTGACAATCACAGATCTAATAATACACTAGATAGTGCATCGGCTTACATTTCATAAGTAGTGGTTGAAGCCGGGCAAATTTACTCCGAGCCCCAAAGTAGTGAGAATCAATATGGAGTTGTATTAGAAAATATCTGGTCAAAGCTGATATCTTGCAATTACTTGCAAGTCACGACGGTTACATAAACTGGTTTACTCTATTAATGAAAAAAATCAATGTGACCATAGTTTTTCAAGAAAAAGATAGCAGAATACGCCAATACATCGCCGTAAAATTGATTTCAAGTGAAGCTCGATTTGAAAGCATCAGCAGCGACGAAGGCTCAAGATACTGGAATTTGCACATCTAAATATCGTATCACAGCACAATCTGCCACAAAATGTTCAATCAACGTCGAGAATTATCTTCCGATATTTATTGTTAAGTAAAACGAGTTGGAGATAACAGTTTGAAAGATTTTTCACGATTTATATAAAGTATATTGTTCACTGTACATAATTAAATATTGCACTGGATTATTGTACCAGAAATGCATTTTTCTGGTGTTTCTGGTCGGCAAACGAATATAGCTATGTCAAGATGTGAGTAGTTAATACTTTCAGAAATTATTTACAGAAAGAATGTGAAGAGTCTACCTCGAAGAGTCTATGTCTTGCTTGTCTATGTCTTGTCTATGTCTTGCTTGTCTTGCTTGTCTATGTCATAGAGTCTGTCTTGCTTCTTCGAATTTGTTTTATATTATGAGTCTACCTCTGTTACACCAAATTTTTGTGAAGTAGAAAATAGCAGGTCACTTGTGAAACTGTTGATACCACAGGTTGATACAGTTAAAGCAAGTTAAAGCAAGAAGAGTCACCAGACTTGTAGTATTGACTGTGTTTTACACATATATATAAACAATATATTGTCATAGTCTAAACCAGTGGGTTATATGGCCACTGCCCACAGTGCTTAATGTACTGTTATGGTGATGTTATGCTACTGTTTTCAACATTTTTATTGTCTTTTACCATTCAGGCATGTATATGCATATGAAACTTTCTACACATTGTTGTTATTGAAAATATCAAACCTAAATTATTTATTCTGAGCAAAATATTTAATTTGTGCTTGTAACATGTGTCAATTTCTGACTGATTTTTGTAATATGCCTGTTCTGTTACAATACATCCATAGATCGAGTATGATATCGTTGTATTTGCCACACGAACTAAGCCACACTATCGAAGATTGTCCAGTGATACGATATTTAGATGTGAAATTCTAGTACTTAAGCCTTCGTCGCTGCTGATGCTTTCAAGTCGAGCTACACTTGAAATCAATTTTACGGCGATGTATTGGCGTATTGTGCAATTTTTTTCTTACAAACTATAGTCACAATGATTTATTTCATAAATAGTGCAAAAAAGTTGATGCAACCTCCGCGATTTGCTAATAATTGCGAGATATTAACTTGGACCACATATTTTCTAATACAACGCCATATTGGTTCTCAATACGTTGGGGCTCCGGAAGTAAATTTGCCCGGCTTCAACTTGTATGTCAGTTGAACCATCTAGTGTATTATTAGATCTGTGGTGACAATAATACGGTCACATAATACGGAACTTTCTCGCCGCTTGTTCATCTGTCAACCGCAATTTTCACCGGACTCTCTCTGATAGTTGTTGCTGCTACTATCTTACGGCGATTGTAACGAGGGATAAACATTCAAACCGCCTTTTAACGATTTCGAGATACATAGTTTTTACACGTACGCGTTTATATATTCCCGACCGATCATTTGTTTGTTTACATTTGCATCGACCATCCTCGCCGTTAATTTCTCGCCGTACAGTGGACTAATTCGCTCACTTGTAGCACATAATTGTTCCTTTACGTGTGCTCCACAGTGCCTATCGACCATTCGTCCCGACATCGGTGATAACCGATAATATTCAGCGATTATTAATACTAGACTTTCCCGATCATATTTTTTGTTCGGCGGGTCAAGCGCATCGCGTGTCAATTGTACGCTGCTCACTCGCTAGTATTTCGAACGCTTTATACACCGTCCTACCGCCTGGCAGCTTTTCTCTGTGGCCCACACGTGTGATCACTATGGTGGCCTATGAGTGCCATAGTAATTTCTAGTGTTTCCACTCCATTATTGGTATTATTTCATTTCTATTATTTTACAATTATAGTTTTGTTTCAGTTTTGTTTTGTTTAATTATTTTTTTAACAGTTCAATTATAGTTTTGTTTCAGTTTTGTTTTGTTTAATTATTTTTTTAACAGTTCAATTATAGTTTTGTTTCAGTTTTGTTTTGTTTAATTATTTTTTAACAGTTCAATTATAGTTTTGTTTCAGTTTTGTTTTGTTTAATTATTTTTTAACAGTTCAATTATAGTTTTGTTTCAGTTTTGTTTTGTTTAATTATTTTTTAACAGTTCAATTATAGTTTTGTTTCAGTTTTGTTTTGTTTAATTATTTTTTTAACAGTTCAATTATAGTTTTGTTTCAGTTTTGTTTTGTTTAATTATTTTTTTAACAGTTCAATTATAGTTTTGTTTCAGTTTTGTTTTGTTTAAGTTTGGCTTTTTCTCCAAATCAGTTCAGTTTTCCAAAAATAAACTGAATCAATCATATGCCATGGCCTATGAGTGCCATAGCCCACAATTCCCTGTAATTCTTACCTCATAAACCCTATATTTCCATATTACATGAAGTGGGCTCTATACTTTATAAATATGGCGGAACGCATAAGGAACTCTGATTGGCACATGATTGGCCATATTCGCACGTGGGATATATTTTTGAATTTTGATTATTTATATTTATTTACACTTTGAAATTGCTACCATTCCGAAGGCTGTTTCTCTAAACTATGTCAAAACGAAATTTCAAAGAGGATTTTGCAAAGTTTAAGGAGCGAATCTCAAAAAAGAGAAGAAAAGAAGAAAAAAGTTCCAAGTCGGACATGTCGAAGGAAGGTTATCAAAAATACGCAAGGATTGGGCCGTTAGCAAGTGTTCCTTTTGGTGGAGAACCAACAATCGAAAATATTAAAGAGGCATGCAAGCGCTATTTCAACGTGGAAGACGGGTTGTGCTGTGATGTACTAGCTGGGGAGAGAGGGCCATCTTGGACTGAAACGAGTCAGATAAATAACTGGAAGGTAATCCATGTTCGTTTTATTGAGGGAAGTGATGAGAGCCATTTGTGTCATGAAAAGCCGATAGAAATCAGTTTCAATCAACGGTGGAAATCTCATGAGACCCCAACGAAAAAGCCTCCATCAATATCCACGAAAGTTGCAGCCTTTGTTCCTCTGAGTGCTATGCTTAAACTTGGTAAAATAATTCAACCAACAGAGGAAATAGTTACACTATATATTGAAGAATTCAAAATATGTGATAAAACATGGGCTCAGCCGTTTGAAGTTACACTCTCTATTTCCAAACAGAAATTTGCAAGTGGAGGTTGCAGAGATGCATACATTGCCACCCCATATCAGGTTGCAGCCAGGAAAATATGTGCTAAAAAAGTTCGAGAAGAAAAAGTTGGGAAATTAAGCAGCTGTTTAAATCAATTGAGGAGCACACAAGAAAAGCAGTGCAAATGAATGCACTAGTTAGGAACTTTGCCAAAACATTAGCAAGTGAGGCTCCTGTTGAGTATGGTCATGTTCTAAATTACACAAATGTTTACTTTGGAAGGCTTTATAGTGAGTTTGTAACATTGGAAAATTATATAGAGGGTGAATTTCAAAAGTATGTGAACAACACTGGTGAAGTTTGTGGGAGTTGTGAGGTAACACTCAAGGCAGAATCATTCTGTCACTATAGCTATGAGAAGTCTGGACAATAGCTAATGGTTTTGGACATCCAGGGAGTAGATCATAGTTTGTTTGATCCAGAGGTTGCAAGTTCAACTCTTATTGATGAGATTGACAGGACAATTTTCTTTTGCTGTGGCAACCTTTCGACAGATGCCATTGATAGATTTAAGGTAGAGCATGTTTGCAACAAATTTTGCCTTATGCTTAAGCTCAAAGAAATGTAGATAATATAGTGAAGTTTTGACTGACATTTTAAATCAAGTTTGATTGACAGTAATAATGTTTTTGTTCAAATTACTTGATTAAGTTCAGTTTTCAAAATACGATTTTAATAAAGCGAGTTTCTATTGTGTCTTAAAAATATTCACATCAACATGACTCTTTAAGTATAAATAAGCTTCCTTAGCATCACTGGGATTAATTTCATGTATTTGGGGCAAATGCTTCTTACACTCTTCACGAACAGCTGGTCTTATATAATCATCATTGTCTTCCAAAACATTTGATAACTCAGAAACCTCAAGCAGTTGTTCTTCTGTAATATCAATTCCACATTGTTCACCACCATACTTCTCTGGAAAATGGAATATGTGTTCTGGAATTCCTGCTGGCAGTTCTTTTCCTCTCTGTTTACGTGTTCTGTGGTTATTCCAAACACACTCACGAAAAATATCTAGTTCCTTTGAATTATTGGGATGTATACATAAGCCAGTAAGTCTCTTTAAGAAACAAGTAGAGTGTTTGCATGTTGTCAAATATATTGTATCAGTACATACAAAGATATAATACGTTTCTCCCGATTTTACCACTTAAATTTACAATTAATTTCTACAATTTACAAAAGAACTAACATCAGGCATGACTTGAAATAAAATGCATGCAATTATCATAAGTACCTGTCATTTTGATCACTGGAATCATAATCTCCACTTTCAACCAAGCATTTAAGTTGTTCCTTAAAAAACCTTTCCATTCTCTCAAGAAGATCCCTCCACCACCTTTCAATCTTGTTTTGAGTGGAAGGTCCATAAATTATAGCATCTAAAGCGTTATACAAATCACCTCGTAGGAAGCAATGAATTGTTGCCATGACATCAGTTTCTGTCCCTCTGTCTAACCTTAATGTTTGTGGCAAACTGGACAAAAAGATAATACAGACTTTAAAATTTTGATTGTATTCTCACTATTTTCATCCACAAAACATATGGAACATAAAATAGTGAACAATATAAAATTGAAATTCAAAATATCTTACCCTAGCCTTAAACAGATAATCAAAATAGAATCGTCCAATAACACTGTGCAACACTCAAAAGTACAGAAAATCTGTGGTCATTTTATATGCACAATAATATGAGAAATTCATGTCTGGCCTTCGCTTTTGTTGAATTAGGCATAGATTTTTCAAAATTGCCATTACTGAAATTCACGACTGTGGATTTCAAAATTCACAATTAATATTTTAATCTATGCCTAAACAGAGTTTGGATTCACCCTGTATGGGATGCACATATATTTATGATATTGCTCAAAATAAATGTAGGATAGTATAGTAAAGGCAAGTAGGGAGGGAGGGTTGTTAGACAAAAGGGACAGTAGGAGTGGAGGGTGGGTAGACAAAGCATGACAACACATCAGCCATATTTGTTTTCACTTGCGATGTATATGTTGTTTGGTTTTAATCTGTTTTATTTAATGATATTATGGCTCTTTTCATATGCTTTAGAACGTTTATTTCAGTAATGGCCAAAATGGGATACTGACGACTTTGCAGTCCATAAAGTCTATTAAAATGCTTTTATTTTATTAAATTTTTGATTTTTAAACACGAGGTAGTTTAATTAAAAAATTTAGTCTGTTAAAATATATAATAAATGATGTTCTGCACTTTTCATTTTTAAATTCAATATAAGTCAGAAAAATGTAAAATATTAATTGTCAAGGTTTTTTAATTTTTATAGCTCAGAACCTTATTTGATAATTGTCTTTATTCTTTAGATTTTGGCTTTGATGATGACTTCAAGACAGTGCAAAATGATCCAAGCAAATTCTGCTACATATGTGGCGAATTAACATTTGCTAAAGAAAGGCAGCATTACCAGCAATATCAAGAAATTGTACAAGGCGTACTTTCATTGTGATATGGGAGACCAAGACAAGCCATGGGCTCCTCATGCCTGTTGCCTTACATGTGTGAAAACTTATTAATCTGTTACCAAATGATCAGGAAGATTTAACTTAATGTAAGTAGTCAAAACAGTTCTAACAACTCCTCCTTCCCTTCATTGCTAGAATACTTTGCCAAAGGATTTCCATTTTCTTGCACCTTCTTTAACGAAATTTGTTTTTCAACTAAGCTGTGGTCAATTCCAGTCTTATTTTGTTCACAATAGTTGTGAAGAACAAAGCATGAGTAAATTATTACTGGTACATTTTCTAATTTTACATCGATCTGCTTACTTAAAACTGACCATCTAGCTTTAAGCCTTCCAAATGAGCATTCAATTGGGTTTCGGCTGATCGCAACAAATTATTAAATAGAACCTCTTGGTTTGTTGTGCATGTTTGGTATTCTTTCATGCAATACGGCAAAGAGGATAGGCTGGGTCCCCAATTAAATAGTTTGGGATTTCTGCATGACCTGGCACTAGTCGTTTGTAAGTAACTGGAAGTAGACCATTGCTCAACTTTCTATTTATAGAAGAGTTGGCAAACACTTTCGCATCGTGGACACTTCCTGGCCATCTGCAATCTACATCCATGAAACGACCTTAAAATCACAAACAGCTTGAACACTCAAGGAATAAAACTGTTTATAATTAAAATATTCTTGAGAGTTACAAACTGGTCTTTTAATGCATACATGAGTTCCATCAATGCATCCAAATGCTTGGGGCATCCCAAATTTTGCTTCAAATTCAGCAGATTTTGTCTCATTTCGTCTTTACTCATTGGCAAATGTATGTATTTCGGGCCGAGATGCTTCGCAATGGCATAACTGACTTGTACTACATGTCTAGAAACAGTACACAGCGCCACACCAAAGTATTTGCTGTCATTGCCATAGAGCGGTGTCCTTCAAAAATACAAGGTCATAGCCAACTTTTTTCTGCTCAAAGCCATATAATTTGAGAAGAAAGATCTGGGGATATAAAAGGCCCGTAGTTCGTCAGCTAGTTTTTAAATTCTTCCGGCTCATTCGAAAATTTTTTCCACGTATCAAGTGGCATTTCGTTAGATAAAAGCTTTGCCCACCAAGATTCTGTCCTTCCATTTTGCCTCCAAGTTGACCTCCGCTTTTGTTGTTTCTTTTGCAAAGCACGCTCGTCTTCTTTTTCGAGCGAAACAACTCTTGTAGCACACAATAATATAGCCATACATTGTACCATTTGATGATGGTTTAATATATTGATGACCAAAAGCCGTAAATTTGAATGAAAACGATCAAAACAAAAATAACTAATACAATAATCGTTATAAGTGCAGAAACGTTCGCCATGTTAGGTTTTAATTTTCGCGCGAAAACACCAGCGACTTCTCGCGCGATTATTGCCATGTAAAGTCGGGCTTAAAATTAGCCCGGCTTGCCGGGCTCATGTAAACAGCCCTAATAGGAAGTTGCTACTCTTGATCAAATTACGTTAATTGGTTCATTGGAAAGTTAATTGGTCAACTAATTGGATTACGCTCATTAAGGTTAGTGGAATTTGATTTAGGATTTGCATTTACGTCGCTGGATCGGATTGGAATTGGAATTGGAATTGGACGACCCTTTGGTATCATCGCACTTGGCATTGTTTTACGAAGCGATACAGAATTTGAACTTTCGACCGGTATTCCCGTACATCCTTCGGTTCGGCCCGATCTATCGCGTTCGAACACGTTATTTCTCTACTGCAACTGGTTTTGCCATTGCTACGAACACTGTGCACGAGTTTCTACTCATAACTATCGCTAAAAAAACCGATATTTCGAAGACGAAGACCCCGTCTACACGTATCCGGATTCGTTTGTATCCGCAAAAATTTTGTTGCGGATTCAAAACTTTACGCGTCCACACGTATGCGAACTCGGTGCGTTTTTGTGCGTCCACACGTAGCCGCGAAAACGATACAAATACGCAATTATTGCTTACAGAGCATGCGCTGTTATGAATAATGAGCACGCAATATTTTGACTAGAGATTGCTTCGATCATACGGTAAAATGTCGAATTGTCCAACAAAAACTACTGCTTCGGGGTCATCAAAGAAAAAAAGTAAGAATGAAGCTTGTGTGTGGACAGATGATGAAGTGGACCTTCTATTAAGCGTCGTTTTAGAATATAAAATCGCGAAAACATCAGAAAATTTCGATTGGGAAACCTGCCAGTCAAAATATGCTGACATTTTGCATCTGTTTATATCACAATATCCTTCCGCTGAAAACGCTATTCAGCTTGATAAGGAATTTCCGCATCAAGAAAATGAGCTTACAAAAGCTATTCTGACATCCAAAACGAAAGCCATTCGCTCAAAGTTTCGCGCTGCCATCGACAGTGGAAGAAAAAGTGGCCATGGAAGAGTTGTCCTTCTCTTCTTTGATAAATGCCAGGAAATATGGGGTGGCTCGCCAGCTACAACCACGCTACAAAATGGCATTGAAACGAGTCAAATAAGTGACGAACAAGAACTTGACTTGTCATTTAGCTCTCCTTCTTCCAGCACCCCTAATTCCCAACCCTACCAACAAAATATCCCTACCACAAGGTCCATCTCTCCACTGAGCAGGGAAAGTGAAACCTCAAATGAGCACGAGTGTTTGGAAGTCGATGATGAACAAGATCCAACACTAAAAGATTCAAGTTCCCTAAAGGAAAGACGAGATCTACTAAATAACAGATTAAAGAGCTACAGACAAGACAAACTTAAACGAAAACTCTCTGTTGACGCCAACTTCTCAATATTGCCAAGGAAGATATGGAAATGAAGAAAAGGATTTTTCAAAATGGATGATATAGACAGACAGCAGGAGAAAACATGAAGAGGTTAACTTCAAACATGGAACAGTTGACTGGTTCCATTGTTGAAGGCTTTGCAATGCTCCGCAAGTTATGCAGCAACCACCTGCTATGTCTTCTCAATTTGTACCACCTGTACATTATCAATCTGGTATATACAACAGAATGCGAATCATTACCAAACTAACAGGATTAGGAGAATGAAACATTCAACAACGATTATGAACAGAATTTGCATTTTCAGCCAGATAATAAGAGTAATACAGCATGAAAACGAAGATTGATTTAATGAGAATTTTAGTGCAGTAGTGTAAGAATTATAAATAAAAGCATGGTTTGCCTTTACTCACGTATAACTGTCTTAAATATTTTCTTTAATTCTTGTTTTGTTCATCATTGAATTATCTACAGCTAGAAGGTACACAGTTAATGTTGTGGAATCAGAAGTATACCTAAAATGTGGTTTGTAGCATCTTAAGTAATCAGGTCTGTGTTTGGTTAGGTAAGTTCCTTTTCCAAGGATTTTATGTCTTGACGTTTGGTCATTTGTTGGACGGTGCTGATGGGGGTCGCCTTCATTGGTTGTACTGCCGGATAGCCCGTTCGTCGTACGTTGCGTAGTACAGCAAGCTGTCCTTTTCAATATCTCGTCTCATCCTTTTTTAGTCTGTTTTTGTCAAAGTTTTGGCATTTATGCCAGAGCTTAGTATCGTCGAGAGTTCCTAGATCTCTCCTTTTTGTTTCTCTGTCGGTTTTGTCCGAGAGGGAGAGGTTCACAACCTCTGTCGATCTTCGTCGCTTGTAGCGGCCTCCCTGAGTGCACCGGTCTTGCATGTAAGGGTTCCTAGTCATTGCACACTCCAACTTCGTAACTTACCCGGTCCCCACCCAAAACAAGATCAAGTGTAGTAGCGTATGACGTCGGTACGCTCATTCTTTCGCTCTAGGTTTTTCATAAAATTTTGTAGTTAAACACTACATTTTCGTATTAATTTTGGTATAAAAATATAGATAAAGTTGTTATCTTTCCTGTTATAATATTCATTTTTCCTCTGGATAACGTATTATTGAAGAAATTTCGGTTTTCATCACGAAGCCTGGATTGACAGCAGACTTTAATTAAATTCAATTAACGGCAATAATTTCGTTCAAAGTTTCTGGAGTTCTCTAAAGCTCTATCACTTGGAATTTATATAAGAAGATCCATTGGCTATCTCTTAACACTTTTGGAAAGTTTGGCAACTATACGTGCGGTACTTTTGGAGATTCAACGTTTTTCTATTTGTTGCGTGAGTACTCTATCTCAACGTCAGAATTTAAAATATCGTGCGTTATAAA